GGCTGCAGGAGCTGGAGTGTGAGAAGAAGGTTCAGCAGCGGGAGCAGCAGGCTGCCCTCAGCGCAGTCCGCAGCGCCCTGAGGCAGGAGCAGCAGGAGGAGATCCTGCGCCTCCGGCAGGACATGGAGCAGGTGAGCAGGCCAAGGGGCTCAGGGATCTGTATCCACTGTGAGGCAGCAGGATTTGTATCAAATAAAGCGCTCCACAAACAAGCATGGAAATCACTTGAAATGTCACCTTCCTCCTCCCCTCTGGCACAAAGACTCAATCTGTTACATCATTTAAAAACAATCACATTAACCTCGTTGAGGTCCAGAGGCCTTAGGTTAATGATACTGGATTAAGACTGAGGGTCTGGGCTTAGTTTCGTCTGTACAGTGTTCTGTGGGAGTCTGGAACAAGCTTCTGGTCCATGTGGGCCAAATTGCCTTGTCTGGTTTCCGAGGAAAAGGTTAATATCATTCCTGAGCCCAGAGCAGTTCATAGGTCTGGAGCTTCTGGTTTTAATGGCATTAGAACTCCCCTTGGATATATACTGTGATATATATAGCCTCTTGCAGGGTTTCCTTCATTGCTTTTTGGCAATGACTTGTAGAAAAGGAGGAAGCAGATTTTTTCTGGGAGCAGAGAGGCAGGGAGGATGCCCGCGGGGCTGTGGCAGTGGTGTGTGACCCCGGCCCTGTTCACAGGAGCGGCAGAGGGAGCTGGAGCGGGCCCGGGCGGCGCTGGAGCAGGCCCAGAGGGAGAGCCAGCAGCTGCGGGCTGCCCTCGGGGCGGCGGCGCAGAGGGAGGAGGACGCCCTGGCGCAGGCTGAGCGCCAGCGCAGGAGCTGGGCCCTGGACCTGGGCGCGGAGTGCCAGCGCCTGCAGGAGCTCCTGAGCCGCAGGGGGCCGTCCAGGGGCCCCGCAGACCGGCTGCACAGGTGTGTGTGAGCGGACCGTCGCGGCTCCCCGGATCCCAGATCGATGCAGGAGCGCTCGGCGTGTCGCCACTCGCTCGGCGATGACGTTGAATTCTCAGCGCTCCATTGTCGTGGCTTGTTGTCTGTCGGGTTTGAATTGTGACAGCGAGCCGCGGCCGGTGTCTGACTCTGTACGGGGTGGTGTGCCGTGCTGTGCTCTGTAGCTCCTGCCCCCAGTCGGTTCCCCAGGCGGTTCAGGCTCTCAGCAGGGTCAGCGAGCAGCTCCACAGCCACATCGGCCGACTGCACCAAGACCTGGAAACCCAGCGGCACGCCGTCCAGCACGTCACCAGAGAAAAGGTAGTGTCCATCACCGCAGCTTCTCAGACTCTGGTGCTCTTCCCCCTCTCTGTATAGACTAGCATGTCAGTGTGCACGTCAGTCTCTTCCAGAGGGGATTAGGAAATTGTGGTATGAGTAGACAGGAGATCCTTCCTTTTTGAGTGTGGAAGAAGATGCAAAGGCGCAGACACAGACTGGATCTGGATTTGAGTCTGGGTCTGAAAGAGCTCAGGGAAGCTACCTCTCTGATATTCCTGGAGGCAGATTTAAAGAACTTTTGGGCGCAGCAGGAGAAGAACCCGTCACCCACAGTTTGTAGACAAACTTTGTGGGACGAACGGGAGACCAGAGCCAGACGAATGAAGGTTGTGAGATGTGGAGCAGGAAGATAAGTTAGATAGGTTTTGAGGTGCCAAGCCATGTACAGTAGGGCCTTATAGGTGAGCATTAGTTGAAAACCTGATAGGAAGCCAGTGCATGGACTCTAGGACAGGAGTGATGCGATCACTTGCACACAACCTGACCAGAATGCTGGCTGTCAAATAATTGGACATACTTAAGTTTGCTTGGGGTTGATTTAGATTTAGCAAGTAGGACGTTGCAGTTCTGGAAACGATTAACTTTCCAGCTACAGTCAGAGATAATATAGGCGATGGAAAAATTTAAAGGGATTTGGGTTCCTGCAGGTGTTGCCAATGCCCCAGTAACTTGAGAGTACGTTTTTTTGTTTTAAGAGCGTCTCAATGACGCCCTCTTGTGGCTCAAATCTGTGGAATTACCAGCGAGTTAAAAGCTAAGAGCTCAGATTGCTAGGCTAGATGCTATTTCACTATCAGAGGGGCCTTAAATCACAGCTGTAAATTCTTCCAGTGCCGGGCTGTGAGTGCTCGTTGAGTCCACGTGTCGAACGTCTCCTGAGATGTCAGGAAGGTGCATGCTGGTCTTTTGTGCGGCTCGTGTATTGAGCTGGTGCGCGGTGTTGGGCGTGCCTCGAGAGCCGCGTGCCGTGTGCTGTGTGCTGGGTACAGGCTGTCCGAGCCGCGCCGGGCTGCGGAGCTGTATGTGTGACTTGTGTGCCCAGGAGCGGGAGCTGAGACAGCAGAGGGAGGAGCTGGGCCTGGAGAAGGAGCGGGCACTGGACTCCCTGAGGGAGCGGCTGATCCAGGTACTTCCCCCGTTCACTCAGTGACTCCTGCTCCTCACGTAACTGGTGCTCCTCATCCTCGCATTGCACATCACGCGCAGCTTCTTTGTAATATTCACTGTCTCTGCTGTGTGACTGTGGCAGAGTCTGTACAAGTTAGGTGGTCTCTTGGCTCACCAAGAAACAGTGATCCAAGTAGCTTTTTGTCATCAGTTAGACCTGCATCAGTCAGACTAATGCTGAACCTAACAAAGCAGAATACCCAATATCGCCAGAGTTGTTCATCTTCATCAAGGTAGAAGAAGTATTTGCTATTGCTGCAAAGCTCCTGGACATCACTGTGATGCAGTGCTTTAGTGTGGCTGCCTCGCAGTGCTGGGGCCCTGGACCTGGGGGGCTGTCTGCAGGGAGTTTGTATGTTTGTGTGGGTTTCCTCCCACAGTCTGAAGACATGCCGGCAGGTTAGTTGGCTTTTGGGAAAATTGGTCCTGGTGTGCATGCGTGTCTGTGTCTGTCTGCCCTGTGATGGACAGGTGTCCTGTCCAGGGTCCATCCTGCCTTGAGCCCATCACTGAAAGGCAGTGTGTGTGGGACTGTAAACGCTGGCAGCTCTTTCTGCAGCACCTGGCCTATGTGTGTGTGTGTGTGCGCGCAGGAACACATCGAGGAGGTCAGCCAGCTGCAGAGGGTTCAGTTGAAGGAGAGCGCGGCCGCGGACAGCCAGGCCCTGCGGCAGCAGCTGCGCGAGAAGAACAACGAGCTGCGGGCCATCCAGAGGAGCATGGGCCAGTGGAAGGAGCAGACCGCCGCCAAGCTGGCCCGCAAGTTCGAGGAGGAGCTCTCCTCCGAGCTGGAGAGGTAGCACCTACCCCCGCTTGCTTTGGCGTCTCCATGAGCTGTGGCACAGCTCTCTAGACTTTGCCATCTGTGCCTTTTCCCTTTTTAAATTACTTGAGAATTTCTGTAGTTCACTTAAACACTATAGGTCTTTGTTAAGGGTTCAACAGATTGAAGCTCTGGCTGAGGCCTTGCATTTTTTAGTGGGAACTGTACTTCCAACAGAGATACAACTTGTGATGTTAATGTGCTGTAGTTTAATCAAGCACTTCAAACTTAACCGTGGATAAAGTTCCATGCATGGACTAGAGTTTGAATTGCCTGAGCTAGATTACTGTATGTTGGATTCAACACATTTTAATACCCTCTGGAATTATACGTCGCTGACCTCAAGGATAGCTTTTAGTTCCTTACTCTTGATGGTACAGTAAAATTATTTCTTGGTTTCACATGACTCTCCTCTATTATGACAACAAATTCAGATGTATTACTGGATAAGCACAAGTGCTATAACCCCTACATTATATTGAGCAAGCAGTTAGCTTTATGCCCTGATGAACAATATATATACAGTATGAACACATCTAGCTGAGTCTTTTACTTGTTTCACATTGCTTCCCACAGATGCAAGACAGAGTTGCTGAAGGAGAGGTACAGTAACTGGGTCTTTATCAGAGACGGTTATGTCTGCTCTAGCAGAACAGGAGCAGTAGATTTAGCTGATAATGCCTGAGGCTTGTGTAGAATTCTAACAGTAGTCCTGTAGTTTTCATGCATTTTCACAAAAATAACTCATTCAGGTTCGTCTGAGATTTCAGCCACTCCCATCAACTTTGAGCTTTTACATGTTTCCTGTCAACTTGTTAAACCTGTTTAGACTCTAGTCTGGCTTTCTAAAACAAATTCTCTTTGCAGAAGGGGTTCAAGGAACAGATATGACCAGCACAAGAAATTACTGCAGCTGGAGTCCGAAATGAAAAGGCTGTCAACGGTAAATTACTGGACTGATGTGCCTGTATAGCCTTGAATATTGACAGAACACTGAGAAGAGAGGCTTGTGCACTGAAAAACACTTTTAAACAAAATGGTTATTTTAAAAATGCAATCACTTGATCTTATTTGACTGCTATTAACATAACTGTTTTTAATCCAGAGTATTTTGGCTCACTTAAGCATATAATCTGAAAAAAAAAATGGTTCTCAGATTCACAAAAGCCTTCATGTCCTTAAGATGTCCATGTGCTGTTTTTCACAAAGCACTGTACATAGAAACACAAATATGGCTTAAAAGATCAGAATGGGTCTTGAGGAATCTGCCCTTTTTCTGGTGATCTAGAATTACTGCCCTGTCTCTTTATTTAGCCAGATAGGTCAGTTGACAATAAATTCTCATTCAGAAACATGGACATTATTGAGAAAGAAATCCAATTTTGTGTCTTGAGGAATGTGCCGATGCTGGGCACCTGCGGTCCGCCTCCTCCCCCTCCCTCTGCGCCAGCGCGTCCGCCGCGCCCGCCCAGCCGGACCTGGGCAGCCTCAAGCTGCTGCGCCACCTCCAGAGCCGGGTGAAGCAGCTGAGGGCGGAGAACAGCCTGCTGCCCGGCCGCGGGCTGGCAGGGTCGGACCCGGGGCCGGTGAGTGCCAGCTGGGCCAGGAGGGGCAGGGACACCTTTCGGCCCCCTGTCTCAACCTGCCGCGAAGCACCTTATCCCAGAGCCCACCTGCAATACTTTCTCCACTTTTACTGTATTTTATTCATTTGTCAGCATTTATTTAAAAATATGATTTTAAAAACCTCTGTGTTTTGAGGTTTCCCGTAATTTTGCCGACACAGAAGACATTCTTTTTCATCAGTCGATGGGATGCTAAATGGAAGCATTATTGACTTCTTCAGCTACTGCAAATAAAAGTATAAAATCATATAAAATCAGGTTAAGTGCACGCAAAATGCACCCTGCCCAGAAAAAAAGTCTGAATCCCATAAGGATTTTCACTTTATCAGATATTTGAATCCTAAAAAAGTTACTGAATCGAAGTCCTAATAATAAATCAAGTTAACCTCACTCAACATGACAGAAGAACAAAATTTTCAACATTTATCCTGAAATGATGCGACATTCAATATCCGTTTGTAACAAAGTATGTGAAGTTCAGACTCAGTCACTGGTGACGTCCACCTAAATAGCCGTTGATCAGTCTCTCTTCGTGCAAGAGCTCAAGGAACAGCATCATCCTAATGATTTAAGATTGGTTTTGAGGACTTCTGGCCCATTCCTCCTTTCAGAACTCCTTCTGACACTCTTGAGGGCTGCCTTACATGGACGGTTAGATCCGGAATGGGACTAGGCCATTGTACAAAGCATTTTTTCTTCTTCTGTATTTCTTTTGTTGGCGTGTTTATATGCTTAAGATCCTTGTCTTGCTGCAGGACCTATTTTTTTCTTAAGATGATCTTCTGAGTTGGGAAGGGAAAGAAGATTGACCTTACTGCCCCCTTTTCTTCCCCCTTTAGATACAAAACACCCCAGACAGACCACAGCACAGGTTTAACTCTTGAGCTGGTAGAGGACCTCAGACTTGGAAGCTTCACTAAGGAGCATCAGTTCGGCACA